CGTAGACCGGCTTTCCTTTCTTCCGTCCCTGCTTGAATCGTCGTTTACGAGGACGTAGGTACGTCCCTTTTGCAACGCTACGATGATTTCGTTCAAGGCCATGCTAAAGAGAAGTCGATATAAGGGCACACGAACCCGCATTATTTTTTTCTCTCTTTCACACAAATACCACACACGTATACGAGTATATTCGTTCATCTTTAATCGTTGTGTACATCCTGTTTTTGAAACATATATTTATCTTTTTGCGTCATTCGAGAGACCATTCATTAGCTAACTCTAAGTTCATTGATTCGAAGAATTTAATTTCAAGGAAATAATATTCTAATTTATTCTTTTTTAGAGAAATTAGTTTTTCATTTAATAGTAGCCGTTTGTAAATCAATGTTTCTTCATTTTTTTTTTTTTTTTTGAAGTATAGTATATTTTTGAAGAATAAACAAACTTTAATCGTTCTTTTACATCGATTATGTTGACGTTATAAAATATCTAGGTTCTGACAAGAAACCGTAAAGTTACGCGATGTTTTAAAAAGTTGAGTTAAAGAAATATACATATTTGATATAAAAAAAAAAACAAAAAATATAATAAAAAATATGATATCATACAACTTGATCGTTGTTAGACGTAAATAAGTCAGCAAAGGTCATGTGAAGTTTCGTGATGTTATATTCACATTAGATTAGTTTGAAAAAAAAAAAAATCAGGTCTTCTTCTTTGGTAGGTTAGCCTTCGTTAATATTCACGAATTTATTTCCATAATATAAAGCCGTTACATCGTATTTCTAGTGAAACGCGTAGTAGCATGCTATACATACATTCATACATACATATATACATATACATACATACATACATATATACAGAGATCGAATCTTGACTGTTTGCTTAGCGAAAGAATCGATAACATCGACGAGGCGACATCAAATATTCATGGTATGCCACATTTTATTTTATTTTCTTTTTTATTATTTACTTTTTTTTTTTTATTTTGCAACAAGTTACGCTTGACAAGCAATTAACGCTATCGATCTTTCTCATCGTGTGCCGTGTTTCATCAAAGTTATGAAAAGATTTTTTTCACTCTATGAAGAAGAACACATACACAAACACAACCATACACACATATATATATATGCTTTCCTGTATCGAGGAAAAATTTCATCATAGTGCGATAAAATATTTCACGCGTTTATATACATTTTTAGTTGAACCAATGCATTTTAATTATCCAACAGTTTTGATATACTTTCGTTTTGGGTACGTCGAATGAGAAAATAGACAGTGAGAAGAGGTCACTGACGCGAGTCGTGATGCTACACTCGTGCTCGTTGATTTTGTCAGAGAAATCGAAAATAGTACATCAGAAAATAGTAACAGTCTGGATAGAGAAATATATCGCAATGGTGGATTGACCGCTACTCTAACAGCTAGCCGGTTAGTTTTACGCTTGTAAAGTATTACGAGATTAGATAAGGAAGAGGAAACCTTTGAGAGAAGATCATTCGTTAGTTATTATATAAATATTTTTCAATAGATTTTCCGCGTATTCGAAAAAGAGTATGGTTAAAAGTATATAATCATATATATATATATGTAATATTTATAGTTTAACTGTGTGCTTATTATAAACTCATGGAAAGTATTGCAAGGTAACGATAAGCTTATCATTTATTTCAAACCTTTGCAGTTCGTACCTTGTAACATTAATCTAATTTGACATTACTTGCGTTTGTTTGAAAGCTTACATATCATATACTAATTAGAACCAAATTGTTTATTCTGTCAAAAGAGAGTTATTGCATCTCGAAATGAGGAAAGAGAATACAAAGTAAGCTTGTAACAAAATATTTGTGATATTTATGAACACGATGTGGCTTCGTATAATTTCGTGACATGAATTTGATTTAGGCGTTTTTAAAAAACGACATACATTTAGGTTTAATAAATTTCAAATAAAGTACGTATGGGTGGGGGAAAAAGAAATAACTTGTACGAGCTGTTAAATTGCAAAGAAATTTTGGTTTATTGATTTGAAGACACCCAGTATATTGGGTTTGTCGATAGAAAAAAAATGTTTATTCTTTTATTTATGGCTTTAGCTTATTCGATAAAGACCTCGACGTAGCTTACATTAGTTCGAATCTAACTTTGCTTATCTATATTCAAGCTTTCTTTCCCCAAACGCTATAGTTATATTTTTCTTTTACATCCTTCTTTCTTCGCAGAGTCGTTTTGCATAGGTCACGAAGGGTAGGATTGACCTCGACATTCTAACGATTTTTATCGTGCAACCAACACACGTCGTTTCTTCGAACTTGCATTAGTTCTCTCTCCCTCTCCCTCTCACAAATCAATTGAATAAATCTTATTCGTATGATCGTTTTTCAAATTCGTCTTCTATTATTTATCATAGTTTTGCAAAGAATCACGACTTATTCTTGATAGTGTACGACAGATGGTTTGGATAAAATCCAGAAAATCGATCTTATGAAATAACTTCGAAATATATATATACACACACGCATATATATATATTAGCGAAGATTTATTGGTTACTTTCGATAGTTAAGTTTTTCTCTCTTTCTTTTTTTTTTCAAACTGAAAATTCGTGATTTATTATAGACAAGAAAGTTTAGTAGAGAGATAAAAGCGACGAGTTGCATTTTTTTCTGTACGAGTCGTCGGAGTACTTTATCATACTTCATAGTTTCGTTATCTTGCTTGGCGCAAATATCGTTTGCGAGAGAAAGAAAGAGAAATAGAAATAGAAAGAGAGAAAGGGAGGGAGAGAGAGAAATAGAGAAAGAGTAAAAGAGAAAAAGACATACGGTCGAGTTCGAGGAAGTTAAGAGATATTGCGCCATAAAGGCGGCACACGATGCGTACTCTCCAAGTAGTTCGACAAATATACGAGAGTAACTATACACGTTTCGCGGACACACGTGACACACACACACGTTTGCTCTTCCAAGGTTCCTTCTTTTTACGCGTTAATAATTGCAATAAATGGTCATTTATTACTAGCGAGATGATGACGCATTACAAAGATAGAATTGTTTTATTTTTATTACATAGAGGAATCAGTGCTATTTAACTAGTATATATTTAGGTAAAAGTAATGTTTCTTTATTAAATTGTGTAAATTAAATTTAAATTATTCTAAGCAAGTGTTATGCAATAGGTTATACGCTAATTAATATTTCTAATAAATTTAGTTTATTTTAAATGATCTGAATATATTCGTGTAGATTTAATTTGAATATTTTCATTTACGCGAACAGAGAAATGTTAAATAATTTATTTTTTTTTGTTTTTTTACAAAATTATTATAGTTAAAAAACACGGGAAGATTACCTGGGATTTTTAAATGAACATTTAATGTAGATATATGAAACGTATGAAAAATTCTCATAACCATTGTCTTATATTTCAGTCCAATTAGAGTTGAAGAATACAATGCGTACTATATCGCATACTATGCACGTATACATATATGTATATGTATAAATTTTTGTTATATTCAATAGAAACAAGCTACCGCTCGATCGTTGCTAATTGAAGTTAGATTTAGCAGAGCTTAATTAGCGATCAAACAACGGTAGCCTTCAACCTTTATGTTGTTGAATAGCTCGGATACAAAGCTTTCTCTATTAAAACGTGCTCATAATAAACCTGTTTACACATACGTATATACATACGTGCATATATATATATATATGTATATACATATTCAATTAACGAAGATAGATAAGGAGACAAAGAGAGATAGAACAAAAAAACATAGAATATTTTTTTTTGGACTATATAATAATAGTCATAACATTTTGTCTATATTCCGGCATTAAATTGTACAGATATACCAATATCTAGAAACACAATACGTGTACTTTCTATTTCGCAACTTTGTGTTATCATATAAACGTACATAAATAGATAATATATTTGTATAGGAAATATAGAAAAAAAAAAAAAAAAAAACGAAGAGATATAGAAAATATTACAACGAATTGAGAAACACGAAGAAAAATTTAATATCAATGATATTTAAATTTAACATTTTAAACGAAAAGGAACGATTTCTCTAACAAAAAGGAAGTTGCATTTATGCGTTACGAGCGTAACGTATATACGTATTACGATGCAACGATAGAAAGTTTAGACCGAGAGCGTGTATATGTGTGCGTGTGTGAGCATCCATTAACAAAATGCTAGGAAAATGTTATTGCTACTCGCATGAAATAACCATCTAGTAAAGTGCTCGTGCTCGACGTCACCTAGCAGCTCTTTTACCACCACCGAACACCACCTATTCCACGCGCGAAAATTCTCCACCCCGAAACCCTGTCCGATTCTCGTCGTTTCGATGGCCACCAGGCAACATAAAAGGGAGGGATGGATGGTTGACGAACGGGGGTAGCTAGGGTTGTATAGCCACGCGCGTGCCCTTCGCGTACATATTTACTATGGTACCATACGTATACCTTCGTCCACTTTATTCGAGGCTTGTTCATACTCCACCCACTCTCAACCCTCATCGTCCACCACCCCTTTATCCTTCCCTTTGCCTCTCGAGTCCACACGATACACCACGCTCGATTCGATTCCATACTTCGACAAGATACATCGATTTTGTCGCAACGTTATCTCGTATTTATTTTTACGACGATAACAAATGATTTATTAATCATTATTATTTTTCATTATTATTTTATACTTATATATATATATATATATATATATGTATTCACACATTGTCGATATTCGGTTTATTCATATTTCCCTTTTATTTTTTATTATCTGCTTAATTTCTTTTTACGTTTAATTGCATTTAAGTATATTTATTATTGTAAGGCTAGTTGTGTGTTATGTAATTGCATTATGTTGTTGTATAAATGAGGGTATTAACTGTCCCCCTTTATAATACTATCAAAAGAGAGAGAGAGAGAGAGAGAGAGAGAGAGAGAGAGAGAGAGAGAGAGAGAGAGAGAGAGAGAGAGAAAGACAATTGAATAGAGTTAATTGCATTTCATTGAAATATTATTACACAACTTTAATACTTCACATAGTCATAAATTCTTCACGATTTTTTTCTAAATACGTTTATCATGATCTTAAAATATAATTCTTCCTTCTTCAAATTATATTCTGTAAAATGTTATCGTCGTATTCATTCGAGAAAATCTTTCGATTGTCCCTGTTCGAAAGTCTTTCCGACAGAAAAAAAAAGAACTTCAGATTGAAGCATGTAACGGTAGGAGGAGAAATTTAATTGAAGTTTTTCGCTTGCTCGCAAGGATATAACGATAACGATAACAGTAACAGCGGTGGGCATTTTATTTCGTTGGGTAAACTGCGTTTGAAGAAAAGAAAATGTTATCGAAAGAAAGAAAGAAAGAAAGAAAGAAAGAAAGAAAGAAAGAAAGAAGGAAAGAAAGAAAGAAAGAAAGAAGGAAAGAAAGAGGTATAGCACAACCGTTCACCTGCTAAATATATATATATATATATATATATATATATATCTCTCTTTCTCTTTTTCTCGAATGTTATAAAGAAATAGGGTGGTGAGTAGCATTCGCGATACAACGACGTTTAAATCGGGTATTCTCGGATAGCCTTCGGGTAAAGCTCGTTCGGTCGCTTGCGCGCGACTCCGGTCGGGGTGCAGCGTCGATGCAAGGTGGGTGGTGGCTTCTTCCAAGGTAGTAAGTAAGGAAACGAGAGAGAGAGAGAGAGAGAGAGAAAGAGAGAAAGAAAAAGAAAGAAAGATAAGGGTTAGTATAGAGTGGAAGAAAACGAAGAAGGGTCGAGTAAGGAAAGTCTCGCGCGTGTGTCGGGTGGGTGGGTGGTTGGGTGTGTGGTGTAGATGTTTGGAAAGAGTGGTAAGGAAGAAGGGGGAGGTAGTGGTGGTGGTGGTGGAAAAGAAGAAAGAAGAAGAAGACGAAGAAGACGAAGAAAGGTCGAGGAGGTTGTGCAGAGGGAGGAAGATGAGGAGAATGAAGAGGTAGAGGAGGAGGAGGAGGAGGTGGAGGAAGTGGTAGAGAAGGAGACGACGATGTGCAACGTAGGAGAAGGCGATCGATGCACCGGCCCGGCCGCACACGACAACGATGCCTGAGTCAGCCTTTCGCGAGCATTGGCCGCCGCCGGCATTACGGCTGCGCTCGTTGCGTCGAGTAAGAATGGGGTAGGAGTGAGGGGGTGGGATTGTAGGGGGTTAGGAGGGGTAGAAGAGGGATAAAACGGAGAGAAAGACAGAATCGTTTCCGGCGTACGCAGCCCCTGGAAAGCGTCGGGCTGGTTATCGCGGCCAAAGTGACGTTCCAAATGAATATCAACAAGCGCAGCCTCGCCGTCGACGGGGGGGTTGGGAAGGGGGAAATCCGAAGAGAGGATCGTAGGGGTGGGTAAGAGAGAAAGAGAGAGAGAGAGAGAGAGAGAGAGAGAGAGAGAGAGAGAGAGGAAGAGTAGAATTGGCGGAGGCGAAAGGAAAAGGGGAAACTCTGCTGCTGCTGCTGCTGTTGCTACTGCTGTGGTGGTGGTGGTGGTGATGGTGGTTGTGGTGGTGGGCACGACGACGTAGACTTGCAAGAGAAATTTTATTTCCGCGGGCGTGGCGCACCGATGTGCACCGTTCGCTCTCGAGTCCTTGCCTTTTCTTTCTCTTTGTCTTCTTCTTCTTCTTTTTTTTTTTTTTTTATTCAAGAGCATTTATTTTCTCCCATTCCTCCTACGCCCCCCGACACCCCCACATACCCGTCTCCTCTATCTTACCCATTCTCACTTGGATTCTTTCTAGTTTTCGTTTCCCATTTTTCGATCTCTTTTCCGACGTCTATCCTCCGCGGATTTCTTCTTATTCTTCTTCTTCTTCTCTCTCTTCACGTTTCAAACCACGAGCAAATGGATCATACGGAATGGGATTCGTGTCTAACCGCGATAGTAGTAAAAGCGGCGGGACACTTGACTTTTCCAGTTGGAATTTGAAAAGAAATGTCTCTTGCGAAAGAATATATATATATATATAT